TTTTTATAAAAAGTTTAAATTTACCCGGGTTTTACATGATGAAGGGTTGTGATGTGAAGAGAATTTCACTCCCTTTTGGTACACTCGTGACGGAGATGTGCTTGGACTATGGAGTGCAATTCAGGCCACATATGGGAGTGCATAAGGTGATGGGACCGTTGAACAGGGCATCTTTCTAAAGGAGCCATGGTCACAGTGGCGGCCTGACGATGAGACACGATGTGCCACCGGCCCAGGGCACTGATGAGGTGCAGGATGCCTTGGACGACGATGAGGAGAGGGCTCGAGGTAGAGTTATAGGCCCAGGCACAGGGTGAGGCAAATACCAGCACCCGACGGTCACTATGGGATATCATGCTTGGCATTGAGGCTAAGCAAGATGAGATTCTCTAACTGCAGGAGGATATTCTCAGCCTTTTGAGGGGTGGAGCTGGAGGAACTTCAGGCGTTGGGGAGATGAGAGATTAGGATAAAATTTTTGTACTTGAGAGTGAGATATTGATTGTTTTTTGATGATTTGAATCTTGTTTGTGCTAAACGATGATATTTTGTGAAATGAATGAATTAGTTTTTACTATATCTATCTTTTTAAATGCATGTGTTAGCCTTAGCATTACATTGTTTATCTGCTAATAATTGATGAAATAGATGAAAATATTGAGATTGTTTGCTAAAATGACTAAAGCACGTGATCGGTTTGACACCTCACCTAGCAATCTAGACTTACAACCACATGTCTTTGAAGAATGTCATTTTCTCTATGCTTAAATGTCAAATGTACATTGGTATTTGTTATTCTCAAGGTACAAGATGACCAGACTCGAAAATAGAATTGATATATAATCGACATTCTATGAAAACCTGACGTAACCAGTGGAGATGTCAAAGAAAACCATGGTAAGTTTTCAAGCCTTGCGACGCTTTTGAGAGAAAATTAACATTTACTCAAGTAAGGTTTTTCACTTTCTATCCTTGAATAGTCTCACTAAAATTGTTATTAATTGATGCAAATAGAGTAGTCTATTGATGTATCCCACAAAGAATCTGTTTATACGACACATACATGTGCACATGCTTGGCAAATTATCTTAAGCCATCTTTGATTTAATTTTGAGCTTTATCCATTGCTTTTAAAAAATTATATCCTTAGTCAACCAAGATTTAGCCTTTAAAAGTGTGAATTCTTTTTCATATAACCCATATAATAACCGAGCCACGGGAAAATATGTTTGACATACCTTTGGTATCTAATTTTCTTGCACCTTCTTATAAATCAATATGATACAGAAAAGCAAGAGAAATAGAAAAGAAGATGGTGGTTACTGTTCAAAGAAAGAAAAATCTGTGGAAACAACTTAAAAAGAAAGAGAAAGGTAGACAGAAAACAGCCAAGAAAGTGAAAAATGAGAAAAAGAATAAATAAATAAATACCATGTAGTTGGAGTTGTGAAAAGCTAGAAAGAGGTGTGCTACATTACATAAGGAAAGGATAGCCTTTGAATACCAATGATGTCATTTCGTTAACCATTGACCCTTGGCCATATTACAACCTATAGAAAGCCCTAATTGATCTCAAGTCTGATGCATATATAGGTCGTCAAAAAAAATTATGGGGTATGTTAATAGTATTACTTTATTTGTATCAATATTCTTCAATGAGATTATGCCAAACATGATTAGTCTATTCCCTTAGATTTCACTCCCCGTACTGATCTTGCATGTGAATTTACAGTTAGCTTTCTTTTGATCACATGCCCTTTGAAAGAAAAGTCACTATAATATCAGAGAAATTTTTGTTTAGAGCATTTTAAGAGAGGTTTGTGAAATCAAAGCTATTCATGGAAGGTTGTAAAGAGGAGTGTTTGTTATATAACTATTCCTATCGCTATAATGATCATTCCTACTACCTAGTGAATTCCAAATACCAATGTAACAAATGTTTTATTTTTGCGTAGAGTATGCACCGATGAAAGAGAAGGGTTTGGTAGATAAGCCGGATTTGAGGATTAGGTATCCCAACGACCATGGTACTAACTCAGTTAAACAACAATCTCACATACATATCTATTCGATTGAACTTTGTGGGTAGCTTCACTGAAAACTCTCACAAGATAACACTTGTTACACCTAGGGGTTTAAACTGCTTGTTGCATATGCTAAACGCAACCTAATGACCTGTGAAAATGGCATTGTAAAAAATTTCTCATTTAATTTGTTTTTGTATTACTAGAGACTAGCAATATTTAAGTTGGGGGGTGTGATTAGTAGTTAAAATTAGCAACTTACTGTGCCTTTTTAAGACTAATTATTTTTTGATAGAATTTCAATGATGACATTTCAGGATAAAGATTGTACAAGGGCCTAAAGTCAATGAATACCAAACTTTCATACAACACCCACATGTTCTTGAAGAAAATAAGAGAAGTTTGAAACAAGGCATGAACTTTCGAATGTCAATCCACTTTTGAACATCCTCTTGAATTATTTGAGGACCAGATTACTGAGGTGATCTTACAGGGCGTGTTGCAGTTCTTCCCTAAGAAGAAAAACAAAGAGGTACTTGAGTACCACGTTTGAATGCCAATCCACATTTGAACGTTGGCTTGAATTATTTGAGGGCCATACTCCTGAGTGCTAGGGCAATGGCATATGGCGTGTTGCAGTTACTCTCACAGAAGAACAAAGGCCACTTGAGTAGGAAGTTCAAACTCCATCCAACTTTCAAACGCCCATCATGTAAGACAAGAGACAATGTTCAAATGCCATCTAACATTCGAACGTTGTCCCAAGACAGCCTGTAGAGTGGTTGATTTTCTATCCGGACCTTGGAGCACTCATTTGGACTTTGTAGACCTTGTACTATTCTTTATCACTTCCTTGCCCCTCCTCCTTACCTACAAATACTCCTATTGTGGGAGCTTCAAAAGAGAGCTCGAGCTACTTGTAGAGTTATTTTTAGACTTAGACTTATATTTACTTGCATAGATGGACGTAGATCATCTTTTGGTTAAGGAAGAAACCCTCCAAAAGTGACTAGCTTTCTTCTACTTTCATTATTAGTTTCATTTGCTTCCATTGTTTTAGCTTCCTTCTTCCCTTAGAGGAGTGAAAATCTTCCACTTTTCTAGAGCTTTACCAAGCTGTGAAGGGTGGAACGTAATTCATTCATTCTTTATCGAAGATCGGCTCCTTGTGTAGTGTGTTGTACCTTGTAACCCCTCTACTTGGAGGGATGAGAATCACTCACTTTTCTAGTTTTACCAAAGTTATGAAGAGTAAGTAGTTTCTCATTCACTCTTTAGTAAGAGATATTAGACATGTATAAATCATTTAGAAGTTATATTTGTGCATTTAATTTATACTTAATGCTTTATCTCTTACTTGCTTATTGAATGATTGATTACATCTAGCAAAGGTATGGTACTGTGTACAACCAATAAGTCCTTTCTATAACATAGATGACTCTTGGCATAGGAAGACTCAGTGGTCCTTTGCAAGTACTCAACTAGATCTTCATGACTACCTTTCAATCTTCACCATTATTGTGCTTCAACTAATAATGGAATACCAACACCATGGTTGGATGCCTTGTAAAAACACTTGCTTGTTTGTAAACAGGTTGAGTCTCGACATGGACAATTCTTGTAAATCTCTACAAAGACATCGGAATCATGCTCTTAATTCTCACAATCCCTCTTTATTTTTTGATTAACTTTATGTTGACACATGAGTTAATTGAGTTCCTAAGCATAAGTATAACAATCGGATGATTGACTATATGTCCAGATCCTCGAGCTAAAGGGTGACTGTTACATTTGAAATTATATTATATTTTTTCTAGAATATCCTCTTGGAAAGAATTTTATATTTCGTTCAGGACAAATCCATAAAGATCATCACTTTAAATCTCAAGGGTTCCGGTCAATTTGGTCTCTATCACTATTTACTTTGAAACACCAACATTATTTCCCTATGGATTCGACTCTAGACTTAACTTGATTATTACTACAACTTGACTGCCTGCACTTGGGTGTACACATTTCAAATCAAGTCATGTAGGTGTGTACTCTAGAATATAATTTAAGGCTATGAGGTGATTCATGTGTGATTAGTTCGAGTATTTTTAGCAAGCTATTTTTGGCACCCTATAGCTAGTAGTATAAGGGAATATGTTTCAAATGTGAGATATAAGGAACAAATTGGAATACTTTTGACTTTATTTTGTGTTTTAATTGATGGATGTTCATTTTGTTTAACTTAGAATTCCATGACATGTACGTTCAAATCATCAAGACTTATAAATTGGATTGCAATTTCGTAAATAAATTTGGGCAAAGTCAGACAATGTGATTTATTAGCATGGATCATGTTTTTGGGTAACTGGGTTAGAAAATAGGTTGTTAGAGTGTTTTGGAGTTTAATAAACTTGATGAAAGGGAATGGGAGTGAGAATGATCAACAAAGAAAATTTTTTTATAGAATTGAAAGTAGGTACCGGTACCACGTCACTAACTACAAGTACCTCTAGTTAAAACAACTAGAAGAATAGAACAACGAGGTACTTGTACCTTCTTGATGAGGTACCAGTACCCACAAAAAAGATTAGTCAGGTATCAGTACCACGTTGATAGCTACCAGTATCTCGAAGACAAAACAGCTAGGTATCAGTACCTCATCACTAGCTACTAGTACCTCATACCCTAAATTGCAAAAATCAAGGGTTTCTAAAAGGAAAAATGGGATTTTACTTAATCACTGCTCAATTTTCTCCTCTCAAACACTCTTTCCTCTCCATAGAAAACCCCCAAGCCATCCAAAAATCGAGGTCATCCATTAAAATCTCAAGTTTCTTTGCTCAAAGCTTGAATTCATTGATCAAGGCAAGGATTGGTAAGTCTCCTCCTCTATCTTTTGATTTGGGATTGGGTTCTCCTATTCTTTGCCGTTGGGGCATGTTTTATTTTGATGGCGCGCACAAAACAAGTAGGCCTTGTCCTAAGGAAACAAATGGGCATGGGATCCCAGAAGAGGGTGGATGAGACAGGCCCTAGTGGTGGGAAGCAAAGGAAGAAGAAAAAGAATAACCCTCACACGGAAAGCATTGGGGTGAAAAATATGACATGTGAGGATCAAGTTGATAGACCCGCCCTCGGGCCAAATGATGAAGTTATCAGGGCCATGGGCTACACTCGTGGTTTCAAGAGGAGAAGGGATACATGCTTCCTTGTTTTCAGGAGTTTTATAAGAAGTCGGGGATGGTGGATTAATTAGCACGAAATATTGCATATCATGTGTGCATTTACACCCCTTTTACACTCTCTTTTTGTGGTGAAAATGAGGGGAATTATAATGTTTTGAGCTTTTAAAGAGCTTTTGGTGTGTTTGTAGGTAAAAGAGCTTAATTGGTGCATGCTAGGCCCCTATCATGGTGCTTAAGAGCAATGGAGTTGAGGGGGAGGCTTGACGATGGCTTAGAAGGTGAAAGAACCAAGAATTGAGCAAAACAAGTTAAAATCTACCAGTAGGTTTGCTATAAAGCTACTGGTAGGTTTTGGCTACTGGAGTGGTTTCTGCCGAAAAACTACTGGAAGGTTTTGGCTACTGGAGTAGAACGTACCAGTAGTGTTGGCCATCAACCTATCGGTAGGTTTTGTTTAAAAATGTCAGATTCTGTAACTCAAGATCTACCATATGGGGGTCCCACCTATGGGTCTCCCACTTATTCCCTAATTCTCCTTACACATAGACATGCCTCCTCAACCTTAGTCTTGGACTTTGAAGGCTTATGCATTAATGAGGAGGATAGAGAATCGGAGAAGCCTGTGAGTTGTTGGGTAGGCTGTCCTGGCTTGCCCAAAGCCATCACTTCAGCCTCCTATGGATGGGAGAGCAATCACACACCTAGGGGGACCTCCATGGACTAATTTGCAAGCTCCATTCACCATTAACAAGATTTTATTGCATTGTAGAGAGAGAAGCTCAAGGAAGAAGATGAAGTTCTAGTGAGAGAAATTTATGTTTTTGCATTTTCTACCATCCATTTTACTTGTATTTTTCTGTAAGACTTGTGTAAACTTCATTTAATGTCTTTAATGTCATTTATCACAAGTAAATTACAAGTTTAGTTCTACATTTTGGATGTCACCATTGTTATATTAAGTTTTCCTCATTTCAAGCTTTTAAAATGGGTATTGAATGTTTTTCTTCATAGTTTAAGATTTCTTGTATCAATCCAAGCTCCAATCTTCATTTCTTTACAATGTCCCTTTCTTTTATTTATGTTCTTGCATTAAATATGAGTACCTAAGCTCCAAGTTGGCTAATCCAAGGCAGAGTTCCTCTTGGTTATACTAAATTAACCATTTTTCATTCCTCCTCGTAGTGTACGATGAGTTGGTTTGACTAGGTTAAGTGTGGACGTGGTTGTGAGTTCTTGACACATCCTAGACTTAGCACAAGGTATGCTTGAATTCTTACCTCCATTTTAGTCCCTCGCTTTGTGAAACCCAAGAAAATTTGAACTTTTTCTTAGAAATGGTGGAATGGTAATTTGTCATCCTAATGCGTATTTAAAATACTCATCTTCTAGACCTCGGATGAGGAAATGGAGTTAGCCATCGGATTCGTATCACAAAATCTAGTCACCTTGTCAAATTTCGTTGAATTTTAAGATAATCAAATTTTTGCACGTCGTTCGAGGCTACTACAAGGCGAATGACATGTTAAAAGGTCTCCAAAAATGAATTTTTTTAAAATTAAGTTAAAGTTCCAATAAAATTAATTTGAACTAAATCCGACGTATGACGAATCGTTTTGGGACGAAAAACGGACTCGGAAGTCAGAAATATGCAGTGCGATGTGGACCACACATTCGGGACTATAAATATCTACTTAACTTAGATATTTTGGGCAAAATATCTCATGTTCTTGACCCTTGGCCAGCCATAGAGAGAAGAGAGTGAAAAGAGAGAATAACAAAAAGTTTTTCAAGCTTCAATCCAAGATTCCCTGAGTTTCGTCGGTCGGAATTCGTCGAGCCAAGAATCAAAATTCATCTCCTCGGCGAGGGCTACGTGTATGTACCAAGAAAAGTGGATTTCTTTAAAGGTCCAAAGAAAATACTTTGGAGGAATCAAAGGTTCTTGGGCTTGTTTTGGTGTTTTTAGAAGTTCTACCACTTCCTACACGCTACAAGAGGTAGGGTTCCCTCCTACCTTGATTTTATTCTTACCTTAAGTGGGCTTTTAGTGGCTGAAAATGGTTTATATGTGGGCTGTCCAAGGGCTGTTCAAATGGACTATTTTTGGACTGTTTAAATGGCTGAAATTGGGTAGTATGTGGGCTGTCCAAATGGACTGTTAAGGGGCTGAATTTTGGACTATTTTTAGGCCATGGTATGGACTATTTTGGTGCTTAAATTGGGGCTGTTTTGTGCACTAATTAGGGGCTATTTTTGGGGCTGTATACAGACTATTTTTGGGGCTGTTTTAGGGCCTACTTTGGGGCTATTTTAGGGCCTATTTTGGGGCGGTTTAGTGGCTAAATTTTGGGCCACTATGGGCTGATTTTCTTGTGGGCTGTTATGAATTGGGAGAGTCCGAAGTCAGTCTTTGAGATACATAGTTTTTTGGGATTGATAGGGTACTACAGGAGATTTATCGAGGACTTCTCCTGATTAGCTGCGCCTATGACTAAGTTGACTCGGAAAGAGGTCAAGTTTGAGTGGAATAAAGCTTGTGAGAAGGTATTCCAGGAGTTGAAACAAAGGCTTACTTCAGCTCTGATCTTCACAGTCCCGGAATGGGGGTAGAGGTACACGGTCTATTGTGATGCCTCGAAGGACGAGCTGGGATGTGTTTTGATGTAGTCCAGAAGGGGAGTAGCTTATGGTTCTCGGCAGTTGAAAAATCACGAGCAAAATTATCCTACTCATGACATGGAATTGGCGGCCATTGTCTTTGCCTTGAAGGCTTGGCGCCACTACTTGTATGGTGAGCAGTTTGAAGTGTTTTTAGACCACAAGAGTCTGAAATATATTTTCACACAGCGGGACCTCAACATGAGGCAACGTCGGTAGATGGAGTATTTAGAGGACTATGACTTCATTTTACATTACCATCCTAGTAAGGCAAACGTGGTGGCTGATGCACTTAGCCAAAAATCACGGGGAGTTTTGGCTAGTATAGCTTCCCGGGAGTGGCAGATGCTCGAGACTGTGGGACAGTTCAAGCTACACTATGGAGATCAGACTCAGGGTACTTTGGGGAGTTTGGTGGCTACACCTTCCCTACTGAACAGAGTGATTGAGTCCCAAAGACTGGATGCAGAGTTATCATCCATCAGGGATCAAGTACGATTAGGTACAAGTGACGAGGGTTGGGCCATTCACTCAGATGGTAGTCTTCGATTTAGGGAAAGAATTGTGGTTCCCCAGTCAGTGGAGCTCAGATAAGAGATTCTTAGAGAATTCCATTGTTCTCGTTTTGCTGTGCATCCAGGTGACACGAAGATATACCATGATCTTTGTAGCCAATATTATTGAAGCAGGATGAAGAAAGATGTTGGAAATTTTGTTAGCCGATGTCTCACGTGTAAGCAGGTTAAGGCTGAGCACTAGAGACCAGCGGGATTACTCCAGCCTTTGGAGGTAGCTGAGTGGAAGTGGGAACATGTCATGATGGATTTTGTGACTCACTTGACACGGACATCACGGGGTCATGATGCGGTGTGGGTGGTAGTGGACCAGCTTACCAAGTCGGCACACTTTTTAGCGATGTGGATGACCTTCACACTAGAGGAATTTTGCGGGTTGTATATAGGGGAGATTGTCTGGTTGCATGGAATGCCCATATCTGTTGTATCGGACTGAGATCCAAGGTTTACGACTTATTTTTAGAGAGTTTACAGCGAGCCATGGGGACACAGTTAATGATGAGCACTACTTTTCATCCCCAAACGGACGGTTAGTCTGAGAGGACTATCTAGACTTTAGAGGATATGCTACAGGCATGCGTCCTAGATCTCAGGGGTAGTTGGGAAGATCACTTACCCTTGGTGGAGTTCGCATACAATAACAGTTACCAGGCGAGCATACAAATGACACCCTATGAGGTATTATATGGGAGGCCATGCCGTTCTCCGATTTGTTGGAAGGAGGTGGGAGAGAGATCCTCTATGGGTCCAAATTTGGTTAGGGACACCTCTAAGAAGGTGGACTTGATACGGAAGCGTCTTTTCACGGCTCAGAGCTGATAGAAGTGCCACACCGACAGACGACAACGACCTCTGGAGTTTGAGGTGGGAGATCATGTCTTCTTGAATGTGATGCCTAGGAGAGGAGTGGTCAGGTTTGGTAAGTGGGAAAAGCTGTCGCCGAGGTATATTGGGCCTTTCGAGGTACTCGAGAAGGTGGGTGTAGTGGCTTAACAGTTGGCGTTACTGCCAAATCTATCGGGTGTCCATGCGGTTTTTCATGTCTTTATGCTCCAAAAATACACCCCGGATCTGACTCATGTGGTGGATTGGGGAGAGCTTGTTATTGATGTTGATAAGACCTTCGAGGAGGGACCGGTGCACATCATGGATAACCGGGAACAGGTTTTACGAGGCAAGACCGTGCCACTAGTGAAGGTGTTGTGGCAGCACTGAGGAGTAGAAAAGGCGACATGGGAGCGCGAGGACACTATCCGTACCAATTATCCTTTCTTATTCGAGGATGGAGGTACATTCTTATAGTCTTTTAGCATTATTTGCCTGTTGCATATGCATGGGACTGTATGTGCATGTGTATGTGAATTTCGAGGGCGAAACTCTTTTAAGGGGGGAAAAATGTGAAACCCAGGAAAATTTGAACTTTTTCTTAGAAAGGGCACAATGGTAATTTTTCATCCTAATGCATATTTAAAATACTCATGTTCTAGACCTCATATGAGGAAACGGTGTACGTTGTTGGATTTGTATCGAAAAATCTAGTTACTCTGTCAAATTTCGTCGAATTATGAGATAGTTAGATTTTTGCACGTCGATCAAGGCGACTGCGAGGCGAATGACATTTTAAAAGTCCCCAAAAATGATAATTGGACCCTCATGTTTGAAGAAAATCGACTGTGGCTCTATTTTGTGTTAATGTAAAACATTTGTGGAAATAATGTTTTGGGCATGTAATCTTTTGCAAATAATTGTAATAGAACTTATATAGACTATTGTTAAACTAACCTTGCATGTGTTGATATAAATATGGAAAATTGGACCCGGTGTGGCCAAACCCAGCT